GGACTTGGCTGAAAGGCTTTTGAACAAAGCTAGTTATCTATTATATAGTTTGCTAGTTTTAGAAAAACTAGGCATTTGTTAGCTAATTAGAGGATTATACAGTGTACCTATATTCTTCCTTCTTGATGCTTTGGGCATTTTTCCTTTATTACTGGTGAGTGGTAAAGACAATGGAAACAAATCACCACTGATTCGGATGGCAGATAAGGAGCTTAGTGGGAAGGACAGAACAATGAATTTATTGAAAATCTCTGGTGGAGATCAGGAACATGATAAGCAATAATGAACCGCAAGTGTTGGATTTTGGTTGGGGAGGAGCAAGCAGTTTTGGAATGGGGGATAGAAAACCGTGTCAGAAAAAAAAAAAGAAAACTATGTCAGGTGAGACATATAGTTCTGTCCAGAATTCTGACAAGAACAGGGGCGCCAGAATGAAGCCTGCGCCCGTGGTCCCTGGAGGAGCAGCCGTTTCTTTACCTGTCTCAGGCTAGCTTTACGTTGATGCTTCTCTTTATCCCAGTTTGAATAGCTGCTATGTCAGTGGACTAACTTTAACATGTATGACTTTTCAAAAGCATGGCGTAGGGGGACTGATGGCAGCCCTGCTACTTCCTACAAGTAGGAGCATCCACCTCCTACCTCTGCTTACCTCGGTCCTCACAGCTCAGGGTGTAACTCCACTTCTCTAAGAAGCTCCCCCAGGCAATCCCCACCGGCTGTTCTCTCCTTCCCTGGACCTCACGGAGCCATTCTTATTTAGCTCCCCCCCCCACCATCCCCCGTTTAGATCCTTGATCATATTCCGGCTTCCATGAGACTCAATCACTTCATGAGTCTCACCTAACTTGGATGACAGCTTCTCAAGGGCAAGGCTGTTAGTGCCTGTGTGTGCTGCATTCTCGGGGCTCCTGCACAGATGTGGGCCGCCGTGATGGCCTGGGAAGGAAAGCAATTGCTCATAAAGGGAGCAACGGAAGAAACAGACTTCCAGGGTAAAGAAAAAAAATCAACATGGGAGAGTTGCAAAATACTACTTTAAGTGATACTGATACGTACAGTTTGACCACATTCTCCCAGTATTAGGGCGTATTTTGGAAACTTGAGTGACAAACTTTGAAAAAGCCTTGGGCATTTTAAGTAAAGCAAACAAGCAAAGACCTCCAGAAGTCAACTCTTCACTGCTACCTGATCTTACGTGCTTCTGCAAAAGAAAATAACTAAAACAAGAAGCAAGGAAAATAGCCTTTAGATTCTGAGAAGCTGGGGACTAACAGGAACTTCACAAGTTACCAAATTCATTCATTATGCAGATAGGTGTAAAATGCTAATAATAAAAGACTACTGTAGCTTCTCCACTTGACTAAGTCACTGAAATGAAAACCCAGGATTATTAGATGTCTAATTAACTGGATGGATCAGAGGAAAATCTCAACCATAACAGTCGAAAGTTCTGCTGGTTTTAGACAGCTTCTAATGTCCTTTCCTATTTAGCGCTGTATAGAAAAGGGAAGGACTTCCCTGGTGGCTCAGAAAAAGGGAAACAATCTTATTACACAATTTCTCAGTAAGAGAAGCCATGTTTTCCTTCAGTGGGAAAAGAGTCTTCTAAAGAGAAAAACAAAACAAGATAGAATTACTCCTGTATGTAAAAGTTTACACAACAAAAGTACAAATGTTGTGTGATACCAGTTATATGCTACTGAAACCAGGTGTATTCATAGAGACCTGAGGTAGATTAGTGGTTACCGTGGGCTGGGGAGGGAAGAATGGAGGATTATCATTTAACAGGTACAGAGTTTCAGTTTGAGATGAAGAAACAATTCTGGCGATAAATAGAGGTGATACTTACACAACATTGTGAAATATTTAATGCCACGGGATTGTACATTTCAAATGGTTAAAATGGTACATTTTATGTTATATATATTTTATCACAATAAAAAGAACTTTAAAAAATAAGTAACAAAAGCAAGTTTCTGATGAGACACTAATGAGATGTCACAAAGAAATTACCTAAATTTGAAAATGTCTGTTGCTCAGTCATGTCTGACTCTTTTCAACCCCATGGACTGTAACCTGCCAGGCTCCCCTGTCCATGGGATTCTCCGGGCAAGAATACTGGAGTGGGTTGCCATTCCTTTCTCCAGGGGATCTTCCCAACCCAGGGGTTGAACCTGGGCCTCCTGCATTGCAGGCAAATTCTTTACCATCTGAGCCACCAGGGAAGCCCAGCTATACAGGAAACAAATAAATTAATGTTACAAAATTTTTTTAGGAGAACCCTTAATTACTATTCCATAGTCCATCCTTTAAGAACTTAATATATACAGTTAGTATAACTATTGTACAAAAAATAGTGACACTATGAAAAACACAGTGCTCATTCAAAGTTATGGTTATTTCCTGCATATGAGTCTGGAAATAGATCAGGCTTGAATTATGTCAGCTGAGTCAAAGTTCACTTTGTCAAGGATATGGATTGAGAATGGAATTACATCCTATTCCTGGGTTCTGGAGAGGCAAAGCAGTGGTCAGGGTCACTCTGTTAGCACAGACTTATCCCAGGGTCAGAACCCAGAGGCCAGATAGATCTCAGTATTTGTTAGATACCATGCAATTTCTGAGTTTCCTAGGTCACCATCCCATTCGACCTAGGAGCTTACAGATCAAACTGGATTGGCTAATCCCTGCTTAAAGAGCAAGCCTGAAGACAAATGACTGCTAAGTATTATCCCATTTTGTGTACAGAGTAATTTTTTTTCCTACATCATCTCATCTGATCGTCATACTTAACTGCCCTGCAAAGAAAGTGGGGCAGATAGCATCATCTATATCATATAACTGAGGAGGTCATGAGAGTAAGGTCCAGGAAGTCCGGGTCTCAAGGCTTTTCATGGCTGTGTTGGGTCAGAACTGAAGCCTCTGGTTACCAGAAATCCTCTTCTGCAACTCTACCGTCCACACAGGACTGGGGTTCAGCCGAACGCACTTGTCTCAGGCACAAAATTTAAGAGGTGCCAAATCAAGACAAATAATACTTGTATGTAATGTTTTTAAAGGGGAAAATTAATGCTAAAATATCCCTGATGAACAAAATACCAAATATTTAAATCAAGACTGCCTATTTGCTGGGGCTTCCTTGGTGGTGCAGTGGTTAAGAAGCCACCTTGTGATGCAGGGACACCATCAGTTAGATCCCTGATCCGGGAAGATGCCACATGCATGGAGCAGCTAAGTGTGAGAGCCACGACTACTGAGCCTGCGCGCTCTAGAATCTCTCCTTTGCGACAAGAGAAGCCATCATGATGAGAGCCCCCCACACCGCCGTTATAAAGTAGCCTCTGCTCTCCACCACTAGAGAAAACCCGGGAGCAGCAACAGACTCAGCACAGCCAAAAGAAAAAGGGGCGGTGGCGGGGGGCATTTCCCTGGCGGTCCAGTGATTGAGACTCTGCGCCTTCCACTGCAGCAGAGGCTGGGTTAGATCCCTGTTGGCTGAAGAACTAAGAACCGGTTATTTGCTTGTTCTCTGACCTCGAGTTATTGTGTAATGGGAATAGTTGTTTCCTATCAGCCTGAGGTTTCCAGGCCCCCTAGGCCACCTCATCCACCTCCTGTGGGTTTATGAGGGTTGATGATGCTGTGCACACAGACAGGGCAATATGAGGCTTTCTACAGTCATGGGTTATGTTTGGAGATGAGTGTTAGAACCTGGCTGCAATCAGAGAACCAGGGAGCAGCCAGGACCAGGTTGGATCCCACAGCTGAGGGTGCCAAGGTCCCTGTGTTCTGCTGGCTCCTGCATTGCCTCTGTCCACTCCCTCTCTTCCTAGTGCCTACCTCTAGGAAAGGGAAAAGACGACAAGGTATCACCCTATTGCACCCTGAAAATCAGAGCCCAGGTGAAGTCCCAGGGAGTTCTCAGGACCGAGTCGCTTCAGGGTGGCTGGTCAGGGGCTATTGCATAAACATATCAGAGTTCCAGACAGTCTATCAGAGTGCCAGGGGCAAGATCTATTTTTGATCACTGACATACAGGGTGTGTCCTACTTTTAAGGAGCTCTAACTGGAGAAGGAAATGGCAACCCACTCCAGAATTCTTGCCTGGAGAATTCCATGCACAGAGGAGCCTGGTGGGCTGCAGTCCATGGGGTCACAAAGAGTCAGACACGACTGAGTGACTAACTTTCATTTTTTCAATAAGGGGAAAACTATATTTACAGAAGAAGTACATGAAATTGTGATGATTTACTTTGGCTAAATCATGTTGAAGCCCATTCAGTATAAAGTTCTCCTAATCTAGTTAGTGGAATCTGATTTACAGTTGGTGGGTATTTTAACAGAGCAAATCTTTCATCAGCTGTTATTTGAGCATCTACAACTACGCAGGAGTAAATAAAGTCTAAGTCAAGGTCTCTGCTGTCAGCCAAAGCACATGGAGCCTGCTCAGGGGGCTGTGATCCATATACCCAAGTAGACAAATATTAAGCTATGAAAGGACCCGTTGAGTACAGAATGACATAGCCATTGTTTTGTTGCCAAGTCACGTCCCACTCTTTTGCGGCCACCGTGGACTGTAGCCCACCAGGTTCCTCTGTCCATGGGATTTCCCAGGCAAGAATACTAGAGTGGGTTGCCATTTCCTCCTCCAGGGGATCTTCCCAATCCAGGAAAAATTGAATTCAAGTCTCCTGCTTTGGACGTGGGCTCTTTACCATCTGAGCTACCAGGGAAGCATCATAGCCATTAACTCATGGAAATTCGAAGGTGGGAAAGTAGTTCACTTTGGAGGACAGAAGACAGAACAGTTCGCACGGACTGGCTCAGTCGAACAAGCACAGCCCACTTTACTCTCGGGAGACGTGGTCTGCTCCCACTGAGGGCCCAGCAAAGGTGAGGGGCAGGCAGAGGCTAGACAGAATCACAGGAGCGTGACACCATCAGTCTGGCTGAGTAGCTGCTTTATGAAGCTGGCAAACCACCAGTGTTAACGCTTGAAAGTGGCTACAGGAAGATGACTGAGAAAGAGGTGTCTGAAGCAGTTAGAATAAAGCAGGGCCAGTACATGTCAGGAAGGTCCAGGTCTGAAGAGCTCCAGAGGTGAGAGGTCAGTGGGTGATGCAGGAGGAAGGTCAAGGACAGAAACACTTGAGACTGATGGTCATATCTGTAGGGGAGAGAATGTTGGGATGCATGACTTCACAGGGGCTCGACCCGCCTGCCTGATAGGCCCCCAGTCCTGCAGTCTTAGAGCCAACAGATAAAATACACCCACACTCTAAGTCACCTCGGTATTGTGATCCTTATAATAAAATCTGGAATATCTTTGGAAGGACATTGGGGAAACTAGTTGCATTAACTGCTTTCAGAGAGGAGCTCTGGGTAGAGTAGGAAGAGAGAGGGGAGACTTTTCACTGTATCCCCTTTGAACTTTGAACCAGGTGTTAACTCTAAACCTTTTTTCTTTTTTAATTAAAAGATAAAATTCATGTGTGTTGAAAAAAAATGAAATAGGAACAAAAGTTTCTAGAGTACAATCTTCACAGGATCCTCCATCAAAAAAACAAATAAGCAGGGACTTCCCTGGTGGTTCAATGACTAAGACTCTGCACTCCGGATGCAAGGGGCCAGGATCCAATCCCTGGTCAGAGAACTAGATCCCACGTGCCCCAAGATTCCGCATGCCGCCAAATGAAAGATCCTGCAGGCAGCAAGGAAGATCAAAGATCCCAGCTAAGACCTGGCACAGCCAGAAAAAAAAAAAAAAACTCTGGAAAATTTTGAACAAACAGCCTTATTGAGGTATAAAATTGACAGACAATAAGCTGCGCATATTTAAAGCATACAATTTGGTATGTCTCAGGGTGCATTTACATTTGCAGGACTATCCACATAAAAATGATATTCATTACCTTCAGAGAGTTCCTCCCTCATGCCTTCTGATGTCCCTGTTCTAAATCCCTCCCCATCTTTCTCCCATCTCCAGGCAACCAGAGCACTGATCTACTTTCTATTAGTTTGCATTTTCTAGAACTTTATATAAATGGACTCATATACTATGTACTCTTTTTTTATTTTTTGGCTTCTTTTCCTCAGGCAAAATTAATATTGAGATCAGCCCTGTCGCTTGTATCGATAGCTTATTCATTAAAAGTGACGGATTTGTATTCCTTTTTTCTTTCTGGCTGCACCACGTGACTTGTGGGATCTCAGTTCCCGTCCACCCGGGACTGAACCTGGGCCCTAGGCAGTGAGAGCATGTACTCCTAGTCTCTAGACTGTCTGGGAAGTCCTGAGTAGTATTCCCTTTTATAGACATGAACCTAGGTAAATATCTAGGCTCAGGGTCATATGTTAAGCATTTTGAACTGAACAAGAAACGGCCAATGTTTTCCAAAGGGGCTGTACCATTTGGCACTTTCAAAAGCAAAGCATGAGCGTGTTTTTTGGTTGCTCTATATCCTCACAAGCTGGCAGAGTTTTTTTATTTTCATTTTTCTTTTTTCAGTTTTATTGAGATGTAGATGACATACAGCATTATATAAGTTAAAGATATACACCATAATGATTTGATTTTCATCCATCATAAAGTGATTATCACAATAAGTTAAGTGACTATCTGTCATCTCATATAGGTACAAAATTAAAGAAAGAGGAAAAGTGTTTTTCTTGTGATGAGAACTCAGGATTTACTCTTTTACCAACTTTCATAAATATCATGCAGTGGTGTTAATTATATTTATCATGTATATTATATCCTGCTGGGACAGTCTTTTAAACTCTCAAGTTCCTATTATGTACATAGTAATATCTCATTGTGTTTTCAATTTGAATTTCCCCAGTGACTAATGATACTGTGCATCTTATTTTTTTTATTTGGCCTCACTGCTTGGCTTGCATGATCTTCATTACCCAACCAGGGACTGAACTCAAGCCCTGGCAATGAACTGGACTACCAAAGAATTCCCCTGGCATTATTTCATGTGTTTATTTATGATTTGTATATCTGACTTGGTGAACTCTTTATGTATTTCACTCACTTAAAAAATTGCATTGTTTATTTTTTATTATGTTTATTTATTTTTCATTGATTGATGAGTTCTTTACAATGTTGGTTTGATTTTTGTCATACATCAACATGAATCAACCATAGGTGTACATATGTCCCCCCCCTTGAACCTCCCTCCCACCTCCCACCCCATTCCACCCTCTAGGTTACACAGAGCCCCAGTCTCAGTTCCCTGAGTCAGGCAGCACATTCCCACTGGCCGTCTATTTACATATGCCAGTGTATGAGCTTCCCTGCTGCTCTCCCCACTCGTCCCACCCTCTCCTTCCTCCCCCACCCTGGTCTGTAAGTCTGTTCTGTGTGTCTGCATCTCCACTGCTGCTCTGCGAACAGGTTCATCAGTACTCTTTCTAGATTCCATATGTATGTGTTAATATATGATATAAAATGTTTGCATTGTTTATTATTATTTAATGTTGAGAGTTTTTTATATATTCTTTATATAGTTCATTATATAATTCATCTGTGATTTGCAGATATTCTGTCCCTGTTTGTGGCTTTTCAATTTTCTTAACAGTTTCAAGGAGATATTTCTAATGTTACACAGTGAGGTTATGAACTGTTCCTTTTATGGCTCAGGCTCTCCTCTCTCTGGTACTCTGCCCTGGTAACTCCAGCCACCTTGCCCCCCCTGGACTCCCTGGACTGCCAGCCCATCTCCTCAGCTCAGGGGGATGGCAGGGTTCTGCCTAGGTTTCCTCCCCCAGTACTGAGGCTTGGAGACATGGTTGCAATCCAGGCAGTAAGCTGGGGTTATAGGAGTGCTTATCTCATTTGTTTTCCTGCATTCAGGAATCATGGTTCTTTGTTAGCTGATGCCTGCTGTCTTAAATACCCTTGCATTTTTCTTGCCTTTTGTCTCTTTTGTTTGTTTCAGGCAGGTGTGTAAATCTGGTTCCTCAGGCTGTGTCTTGGCTGGGAAGCACAAGTTCCCTTACACTCCCCTTGGAAGTTTGATAGAGTTCAACTTAAAATATATATTCATTTGGCTGCTCCGGTCCTAGGTGTGGCACATGGGATCTTCGCTACAGCATTTGGAACCTTTAGTTGTGGCATATGAACTCTTAGTTGCAGCATGTGGGATCTAGTTACCTGACCAGGGATTGAACTGGGGCCCCCTGTATTGGGAGTGTGTTGTCTGAGCCACTGGACCCCCAGGGAAGTCCATGAACAGTTATCACTTAATGGAAAGCCTGAGTTGTAGGCACTCACCTAGCTATTATGGGATATTGGCAGAGTTAGATGAAGGCTCCCAGAAGACGGCAAAGAGATGCATCTGCAGGTTGTAGTCTGACTGAGGCTTCCCTGGGAATTTACGAGAACCTCACCTAGGCAATGTCAGGAGTGAATCCTGGAGAAGACATGCTGCAGACAGTTGGGGGATTGACAGGACAAGAGTAGGAGGCAAGTGTTAGACATGCGGCAGTTATGTGGTTGGGGAGTACGCTGCTCCGTTTTAATCTGCTGCTCACCTTGGTCTAGCAGTAGATCCAAGCAGACCATATCTGTGGAGAAAGAAGTGAGTCCTCAGCTGATCTACATGACGTGGTTTAATGGGGGAGAGAGGAATTTTATCAATACCTAGTCCAGATAGGTCATGTCCAGATTATAAGCTAGGTCACGGGCTTGATCCCTGAGTTAGGAAGATCCCCTGGAGGAAGAAACGGCAACCTACTCCAATATTTTTGCCTGGAGAATCCCATGGACAGAGGAGCCTGGGGAGGCTACAGTCCATGGGAGGTCACAAAGAGTCAGAAATGACTGAACGATTGAGCAAGAAAGCAGGTTCACCTGGGTATTCAGTCCTCAGGCAAAAAGCAAGGAGGCAGATCCAGACATAGCCATCCTCCAGTCTGTCTCCTGGGTTACGCTGCTCCAGCTCTGACTGGTGGCTGCCTGGAGCAGACGCGACAGCCTGGGATCTCCCTGTAACCGTCCACCCGAGGATTCTGTCTGCCCGCCTTCTGCAATAAGTCTCCTCTGTCCTCTGATTGTGGCTTCCTCTTCCTTGGTTTGCTCCCTTGCAGGATCCATTCTCCAACAGCTCCTTGAGAAAGCATTCGTGGGAGGTAAACTTCTTGAGATTTTGCCTGAAAGTTGTCTTCATTTCACCTCCTATATGCTAAGATACTTTGGCTAGGTGTAGAATTTGAAGTTGAAAATCATTTTTCCCTTAGTGTTTTGAAGATGTTGCTTCACTAACACGCTTTTCTTTTTTTCTGGTCATGACTGGCACATGGGATCTTAGTTCCCAGATCAGGCATCGAACCTGCATCGCCCACTTTGAAAGCTCAGAGTCTTAATCACTGGACTGCCAGGGAAGTCCCTTCACTAACTTCTTGATTCCAGCGATGTTATTGAGAAGCCTGAAACTATTGATTCCTGGTCCTTTGTATGTGACCTTCCCCCCTTGAAGCTTGTAGAATCTTCCTTTGACTTCTATGTTCTGAAATTTCACAATGATGAAACTCTGTCTACTTCATCTGTTGGTCTTGCTTCTAGATCACCCTCTTCCACCTGGAAATTGTGCTCTTCAACTCTGGAACATCTTGAATTACTTAGTTGATGATTCTTTCCAGTTCATTACCTTTGTTTTCTTTTTCTGGAGTTTCTATTATTCAAATGTGGAACCTACATGCTGCTGCTGCTAAGTCGCTTCAGTCGCGTCCGACTCTGTGTGACTCCATAGACGGCAGCCCACCAGGCTCCCCGTCCCTGGGATTCTCCAGGCAAGAACACTGGAGTGTGTTGCCTACATGAGTTATCCTCTAATTTTGTCTCCTAGTGTCCATTTCTGTCCTTCATACTTTGTTTTCTCTGAGTTTTCTCCAATTTTTATTATTCTTTCTATTGAGTTTTCCATTTCTGTCACTATGTTTCTTTTTGTTTCTTTGAATTATTTCTTTATATGGCATCCTTTCCTTGTTTCATGGATCTATATCATCTCTTTTCCTTTTGAAATACTAATGATGATTAACAAATTTTATTTTTTAATATCCTTTCCCTTCATGGCCTGTTTTTCCTTCAAGTTACTTTTTTTTCCCCATTCCTCTTGGTTTTGTTCCTTATCTTTCATGTGAGAAACTTTTATTAGTTGTTAGGCATTAACTATTTACTATTTACTATTAACTGTGACTCCTTATCAAGAGTAGAGTCTGAAAGGGTGACTGGAAGCTCTGACTGTAAGGTTGGGTCTTACTGTATCTCAGCCAAGGTTTTCCTAAAAAAAGAGCCCAAGACTTACACACAGGGGAGTGATGAAGCGATCCAAAGAAGCAGGAGTGGGGGACAGTGGGAGGGAAAACGCAGAGCAAAATATCAGTGTTAGACGTCTGCCGCAGTGAATGGTGCTCTGTTCCGTGGCATCTTCTCAGTCTCGTAGAGTGTGTCTCAGCTGTCCAATCAGGGGGTTAAAGGTATCCCCACAGATATCATCTTCCCTAAATTCCTGTCTTCACATTCCTCCATGCTGATGCAGAGTGATTCTGCTGACCCAGAGACGTCAAAGCAGCTTTGAGACAGAAAGCAAGATTCAGGGACGAGATAGGTCTATATAGAGATATTATAGGGAACTGGCTCAGGTGATTATGCTGAGAAATTTCATGATTCATCATCTGCAAACTGGAGGCCAGAAGAGCCAGTTGTGTAATTCTAGTCCAAGTTCAAAGATCTAAGAACGGGGGGAGCCAATGGTGTAAGTTCCAGTCTGAGTGTAGGAAAAGACAAGTGACCCAGCTCAAAAAAAAAATTAGGCAGAGAGAGTAAATTCTCTTGTCTGCTTTTTTGTTCTATTCAAACTCTCAACAGATTGGATGAGGCCCAGTATCCGCTCTGCTAACCTGGTGGCTTAGCAGTAAAGAATTCTCCTTCCATGCAGGAGACGCTTGATCCCTGGGTGGGGAAGATCCCCTGAAGGAGGAAATGGCAACCGCTCCAGTATTCTTATCTGGGAAATCCCAAGGGCAGAGGAAACTGGAGGGCTACAGTCCATAGGGTCGCAGAGTCAGACATGACTGAGCATCCACGCAGTATCTGCTCGGTCTACCAATTCAAATGGTAATCTCATCCAGGAGTATTAATCAATATCTGGGCATCTTGTGGCTAGTCAAACTGACACAGGAAACGAACCATCATACTTGCTCTGGGAAGCTATATGCAACCTGATGGAACAGTGGCTATGACTTTGGGTAGAATAACAGCTGAGGTCAAGAGGATTAGGAAGCAGTGCACAAAAGGTGTCTGATACATTGATCCTGAGCTTTACTGAAGGGTGACCTGGTTGGACCATTGTTAGGAGTTAGGAATGCCCGCTGTGGGCCTTCCTCATAGACCTATTAGATTCCTCAAAAAGAGTCTTCCAATCTCATACTCAAAGGTAAATGTCACATTGCCAGCATTCTGAGAGCCAAATTGGGACTGTGGGTGTGCCCAGTCACGTCTGACTCTTGGCAACACTACGGACTGTAAACAACCAGGCTCCTCTGTCCATGAGATTTCCTGGGAAAGAATACTGGAGTGTATTGCCATTTCCTTCTTCAGGGCATCTTCCCGATGCAGGGATCAAACCCACATCTCTGGCTTGGCAAGTGGATTCTTTACCACTGAGCCCTGGGGGCAAGACGACTGGAGTCATCTCACTTGCTGAGCATCTGGCCTCCGGATCTCCTGATTTTCAGGGTGGTACCTAGGCCCTCCGTGAGCCCTACATCCTTCAGACCAGAGACTCTCTTCAGAATAATCTCCAGTCTCCTGCTGGGATCAGGGATGAGATGTGAGCTCTCACAGCTTCTCAAACTGCTGACACTCAGCCCTCTTTATTTTAGCCTTCCCCTTCCCATTAGTCCCAGTGATCCTCAGTTCTGGCTTCTGAGCCTTCTGAGTGTAAGGCGGGTTGGATCTTCGCTTTCTCAGGCCTGCTAAATTTTAAGATAACCCTAATCCATCTATTTTCCAGCTTCGGAAATTGTGTTGCTCTCTTGTGTTCTTTTCCTTATGAGTTTATGAAGAGAAGGAAAGAAGGAGGGAAAGAAAGGGAAAAGAAAAGCTGTTTAATGCAGTTTGGGGATGGAGTAAAATGAGCTGCGTGCATCCTGTCTGCCATGTTAGCCTGGAACTGGCTACACATAGCTCCCTCCTTTGTGTCTTTCTGCTTTCATTTACATGTCACCTCCTCAAAGAGGCCTTCCCTGACCACTCAACCTGATGTTGAGGTTAGGCCTTCCATCAACATACCTCACTGATGACTACTTGGCATTTTCTTCTGTACGGACTGCTGCCCCATTGAGTATAAGCTTCATGAGAACAGGACCCCCAGTCTGTGCAGCATCCCCAGTTTCTAAAATGGTACCTGGTGGTACCACCATTGGTCTAAAATGGGACCATTTTGGTGGTCTAAAATGGGACTTCCCTGGTGGTCCAGTGGTTAAGAATCTGCCTTGTAATGCAGGGGACACAGGTTGGCTCCCTGATTGGGGAACTAGGATCCCACATGATGCAGAGCAACCAGACCTGCGGAGCCACAACGCAGCTACTGATCCCGAGCCCTCAGGAGCCCCAGTGCCACAACTAGAAAATGCATGCACCGCAGTGACGATCCCGTGTGCTGTGACTAAGACGTGGCACAGCCAAATAAAGGAACATTTTTTTAAAAGGAATAAAGTTTTTTTTTTTTTAAATTGTACCTGGGACATGGAAGAAACAAGAACTGTAGGAAACCTTTTCAGTAACCGGGTTTCAAGCCTGCGTGTGATGTACCCTGGGAAAAAGAAAGACCGCCGTGTGGGAAGAAGGAGCAGGGTGTATCCAGAAATAAGAGAGAGGCTGCGTGTAAGTCACGTGAGTGTGAGCAGCAAGAGAAACTGCAAAGAGCAGGAGCAGAGCTGTGGAATCTGGAAAACCCTATACTTGAAAACTCTGCCTCTGACATCAAGGTGATCCTAGGTTTTGACTGAGCCTCTGTGATGAGTTGGGCTGACCCTCGAAGGGAGACACTCCAGGCAAAGGTGGATGTGGAGGACAGGACACAAGGCGGGAAGCATGGCTGGCTGGCTCTTCTTCAGTGACCACCAGAGGAGAGGAGGACAGAAACGGGAAACAGGCTCGAGGAGCTGCAGGGACGCAAGCAAGCAGCTCTGTCCTGCAGTGTGCGGCCACGGCACATGGGGACCGGGAGCTCCTGCCCATCTTATGTGCCAGGGACCCTTATCATCAACCAGGGACACTCCAGGGGCCATTCACATCTCTGGCGGTACTGAGTGTTGTGTGACCTTTATTTCATTAAAAAAAAAAAAGTACAAGTGTTCTGTGCAGCAAATGCAGATGACACATACACAAATTTTTTTTAAAAGATTTCTTTCATGTGGATCATTTTCCAAAGTCTTTATTGAATCTGTTACAGTATTGCTTCTGCTTTATGTTTTAGTGTTTTGCCCGCAAGGCAAGGGGAATCTCAGCTCCCAGATCAGGGATCGAACCCACACCCCCTGCATTGGAAGGCGAAGTCTTAACCACTGGACTGCCAGGGAAGTCCCCACAAAAAAATTTTTTAAGTTACCTTTCTAACAGTGTCAGCTTTTAGCCCAGGAGATTGAGTTTTCCCCCTTTTCATTAAAAAGGTAATACTTTCACATGGTTCAAAATTCAAATGTCACGAAAGGGTAGAGAGTACAAAATGCCCTTCCCATTTGATTCTCCACCTTCCTCTCAGGTCTCCTCAGAGATGACCAGTGTAAACAGATCTTGCATCCTTCCAGAAATATTCTCTGCCCATGCAAGTTTTTTTTTTTGGCAAGATTAAATCGGAACAGATCTACTTAGAGTGCACGAAGAGGACTTTCCTCTGATTAAGTCAGGGCTGAGGGCTGGGTTCTTCATTTTCGCTGGTAAGGAGAGACAGTGGTAATAGGAGCCTGCGGGGGCTGGGGGAGGGAGCAACCTCCTCTGGGTTCATTGGCAGATCACTTAGCACGAAAGGAACTGTGATGGAAGGAGGCTGTGGTCTGCCAGGTGTCAGGTGCTTTTTATTTAGGACAGAGCTAGTCTAGCTTCCCCGGTGGGTTTTCTTGGTGACTTAGTGGTAGAGAATTCAGCGTGCCAATGCTGGAGACACAGGTTCGATTCCTGGGTCGGAAAGATCCCCTGGAGAAGGAAATGGCAACCCACTCCAGTATTTTTGCCTGGAGAATCCCATGGACAGAGGAGCCTGACAGGGTACAGTCCATGGGGTCGCAAGGGTCGGACACGACTTAGCGACTAAACCACCACTACCAGTCTAGCTTTAATGAGGGTGGCTAAAGGCACATTGTTGATATGGCAAAAGAAATCATGACTGTCATGTGTGAGGTGATAGGGAAAACATTTCCATTGGGTAGATAAGGGCCTTCTCTGAAGAAGACATTGTGTGGAATGTAAGCTTGGGAGAAGAAAGCTGTCTTCTGTAAGCCACCCAAGATGTATCTTCTTAAAAGGGAGTCACTCCACAATTGAACCGTGAGGATGCACAATTGAACAAGGAGTAAAACAGGAGAGCTAGAGGGACTTCCCTGGTGGTCCAGGAGTTAAGAATCTGCCTGCCAACACAGGGTTCCAATCCTGCTTCTGGAAGATTCCACATGCCACGGAGCAACTAAGGCGTGTGTGCATGCTAAGTCGCTTCAATTGTGTCTGACTCTTTTCAAACCTATGGTCTGTGGCCTGCCAGGCTCCTCTGTCCATGGGATTCTCCAGGCAAGAATATGGAAGCGGGTTACCATGTCTTCCTCCAGGTGATCTTCCCGACCCAGGGATTGAACCTGAGTCTCTTATATCTCCTACACTGGCAAGCAACTAAAGCCCAGGTGCCATGACTACTGAAGCCCATGTGCCTAAAGTGTTGTTCACTGTGACAGGAGAAGTCACCACAATGAGAAGCCTGAGCACCGCAACCAGAGTAGCTCCTGCTTGCTGCAACTAGAGAAAGCCCACACACAGCAATGAAGACCCAGCACAGCCAAAAACAAACGGACAAAACCAAAACCAGAGAGCTAGAGTTCCCTGGTGGCATGCCAGGCGATTGATAGCACTAGGGTGGAGGATGGGGACCAGGTCTGGGAATTAAGTTAAAATGGATCTGACATCTCCCAATTGGAGGGAGGCCCGATTCTGAAGGTGGAACACTTCAATGAAGTAGGGGAGAGAGCACCTGGCAAATCAGACAGCTCCCACAATGGGAGATCCAACTGAACGCATCTGGCAAGGGGGCAGTCTTGGCCAAAAACTGGGAGAGGCAGAAGGGAATGGGTCTGGAGTCAGACTACTGGGCTCAATGCTGGTTTTAATATTTCTCGGCAGTGTGAACCTAAGCAAGTTAAACTCCTTGCGCCTCAGTTTCCTAACAGAGATAATACACAGTGGTAATAATAATAGCCTCTCATGGGGTGCTGTATGATCACCTAAATCAACCTCCAGTGAGGCCTTAGAACAATGCCTGGTGCATAGCTTACTCAGTGCTTTTCAATCATACCTATTTTTAATAAGGACCTGTTCAGGCCAGTTTTGCTGGCAGAGAAGTACTCCGAGATGAACCAGGACAAGCAGAATCAGAGATGGATTTCAGGTAAGGCTAGGAGGGATAAGGTGGGGGGATGAACAAAGAATACACAAGAAAAATCAGAAAGGCTGAAGACTAAAAGTTCAGGGTGGGGCTATTTCAGAGAACATAGCCTGCAGCAGGTCTACAATGTTCAAAGCTCGATTGTGTAAAGGAATACCTTGGAAACTAAGTGGAGAAAGCTGAATTTCAGTTAAAGAAGCATTCTTTTTGTGTTCACTTAGAGCTCAAATTATACTGTTAAGGAGAATGGCCAGTTTGCATAGAAGGAACCCTAAGATCTATATAAAGTTAGGAGATTTGAGTTTTAGCCCTAGTTCTGTCCTAAGTAGTTGATGCTGTACTTAATGAACTAACAACTGTATCATTTTGAAAAGAAGGGGCCAGACCTAGGTCCTAGGCCTCATGAATATTTAACATTCTGATTCTAATTCAAGAACGGAAAACAGGGTCTTAAGAGAATTTCAGAGTTGCCCACCTTTCCACGACTCCTTCCCTCAAAAATCCGTTAAGACTAAGAGCGTCTATATTCCTCTCCTTTTTCCCAAGTCCCTTGCCAAAAGGAGCAAGATTTGTAAAATGCTGGCATTGGGAGAGAGCCACTACTTCTTTTCCCATCCATTTCAGGAAAGTTTAGGTTTTCAGTTATTCCTCGGTCTGCCAAGAGTTGCTTCCAGATTTAAGTAGGAAGAAGGGGAGGGGGCGGGGAAAGATTTGCTTAAAGGAAGTGAAGCTTGTTTTGCCTGTTCTCTGGGAGAAGGTGGTGGCAGGTAGACTACGACTGTTCAGCTTCAAACTATCGCTTTAAAACACTCCCTGAAGGGTGGAATCTGGCCCAACCAGGATTAAGAGATACTGATTCACAAAGTGAGGTACAATGTACACACTAAATCACGGCCTCTCCTAAATGGTCAACAAAAAGCTTACAAACTCTCAAATAAGTGGCATCTCAATTAGGATGCTTGGCTAGGGGGATGTGCTGGTTGGAAAATAACTTGGCTCTAATTCTGTGACCTTTAGGGCAGGACTGGGTTGTTTAGAAGAAAAATCTACAGTTGAGGAAAAATGGTGTTGCCCAAGGGCTATGAACCTGCATCTTGTTTGCCCGTCATCCTGTCAGTCATTTTCCTTTTTTTTTTTTTTAAAGAAGACAAAAATCTGAAGTCAGAAACACCGAATTCCAAGTTTTTTCCAGGAGCGAAGGCCCCATCTCTAGGACACTGTACTAATAATACTGTCCTGGCCTATTCCGCGCCTGGGATCCCCTAGTTTTCTCCGAAGGGTCCGCACTGCGGGGCGCAAACCAACAAACGAGCTCCAAACCAAAGGTTCCATCGTCAGCCAATAGCTGGCTGGGACCCCTCAAGAAAACTAGAGACACCTACAGAAGACGAGTGGCATTGAGACCAGCCTATCCGCGGGGAGGCAGCTGAAGGGGGTGGGGTCAGAATTAGCCAATAGTCTTCAAGTGGTTGTTGTTAGGCGGGAGGAAGACGCCTGCGAGCGTGCGTGAGGCCGCTCCCCGGGAAGGGGGTGGCAGGAAGCTCGAGGAGCCAATGGCCGCGGCGGGCGGGCGGTGGCGCGCATGCGTACTGCTACCCGGGGCTGCGGGCGGGAGGCGGGGAGGGTGGGGGAGGGGAGCGGGCAGGAACGCGGCGGACCTGCTGCCGCCGCTGCAGCCGCCGCCGCAGCGAAGAGGCCATGTTGTGTGGTGTATGGGGCGGGGGGAGGAGGAGGAGGGAGTAGAGCCGAGAGAGGAGACGGGAGAGAGACACCACACACACACGGCACAAGATGGCCGGAGAGGCAGCAGCACCCCGAGCTGTCAGGCGTTTCGCCGCGGCCGCGGGGCCCGCCGGCCGGCGAGGAGCTGCTCCCGGGCGGCCCGCAGACCCGCGGGAGCAAAGACTCGCTGCCCGGACCGGCCCCGCGGGGAGAGGGGCGGCGGCGGCGACCGCGCGAGGAGAGCCCCCGTCTGTGCTGGTGAGTTATTTTGATATTCAGGGTAAGGAAAAAAGAATCCCCTTTTCACGTCCTTCCAGTGGGGGAGTTTTTTTTTTAACCCCTTTCCCGTGAGGTGGAAACTCATCTTCGTGGTCGAATTTAAAAGAACAATGGAACCCTGACTACGTTTCAACAAAAAATAAAAACTTGTTTTTTTTTTTCTTTTGGGTGTTGGCTTTTAACTCTTTCAAAGCCGATTTTGAAAACGGCTGCAGTGTTACAGATGAAAAGGTAGTTGCTGCTTGTTCAACCCTTTATTGACGTTAAGGTTGTCTTTTTAAAAAATGCAAGTTGGAGGAGTGCTTCTGGTATTTCAAAAATTACGAAGCCAAGTTTACTATGTCGTCAGGGCTGTTTAATGGAAATAGATTATAATTACGGTGCTAGACGATGACGTTTGATTAAGGTAGTTTATTTTACTGAGTAATTACGCCAAGATTGTTTGACATTCTGTTGTTTGAACAGTGATTAAATCTACTGTTGGGGTACTTTTTAAAAGGTCAAAGGAGCCGTTATCTGTAACTTACCACACCTGAATGTTAGGAGGTACTTGGGTCAGTTCCTCGACTTTTAAAAGTTTAAGTTCGTCGTTTGAATATTTTTAAAAATAATGTATATCCTCACAAGCTGTGGTCGACAAAACTTTTGCAAAGGAATATTCAGACACCAAATCCCTTTGTGAAGTTACTTTCTGGTAGTGTAAATATTAAAGTAGGATTGCTCGGTAATGGGCGATGAAGAGGAGCCATATTTGTTGCATGCATAAAAATCCAGTTATGCTCAAAATGGAACAGTATTTTAATAGTGTATTATGCTTTTTAAAAAAATTTGTAGAGTCCCCTGTACAGTCTAGAAATTTGAAACATTGAGAGGGAATTTAAGTTTAGTGATTTGAAGAACAAACCACAAGTGCACAAAACCTTTGTGTATTTTAGAATATATTTGTCTTCGTCCTGCGGTAGCTCATGTGTTGTTGTGGAGGTGAAAATCTACGTAAAAATAGTGTTCGGAAGATTTACGTAGTACTTGTAAAATCAAAGGTACTGTTGTATTTTTTAATGTTTCTGAGGGTATTTTTCTTAGTGAAATTGTTTTATTTTCCGAATAGCATTCATATACTGCTTGCTACACGTTACATCAGTTGCGCATATCTTGATTTTACAGACTCTGTTGTTTTAACCGTTTTGGTTTTTCAAATCAACGTTTTTGAAATTTTTGAACACTGCAAGTCGTTTTACATTAATATTCTGAATCTAGTGTTTCAGAATCCTCTAAATAGCAAAAATGCAAAATAATTGCTAGCTGTTTAACCTCATAAGATCTTTTTACATGAGAAATGGGGGAAGGGACCCTGAAAATGTTGGAGATCTCAGTTTGAAATTGAATAAAGATCATAGATAGTTTTAGATTTGCTTTAAAGACAAAGCTAATATCCCACTTGGTGAGATCAAATAACTTGTGGTTTAAAAATTTAAAGTAACCAGTAGCCATTTTAACTTCACTAATTTCTCCTGGAGTTAATTTTTAATTGCTCATTCTTGTAAAAGGTAGTTCTAGATGGTAAATAAAATTTAAGATGATTTCAATCTTTACAAATGGTAAACTTCTTTGTTTTTGTGTATTGCTTAGCATCAAAGAAAAATAAAAATGAAAACAAGGTCATAATCTTAAACCTGTCCAAAGATGTGAGTTTTTTCTTTTTTTAATCTCAGTGCCTTATCTAATGTTTATCCATGCAACTAAAAGATGAGGAAAACAAAGACTGATAGATACTATGATAAATAACTGCATCCTTAAATGTACAGGTAGCATGTTGATGAGCCATCTCTTGAATTTATCCAATGATCATGTCTCTGGAATATTTTCTCATTGTTTCATCACACTGAAACTTTGGCCAAGAATTGTTCAAAAATCAAAACACTGATATTATCTTTTTTTTTTTTAAGGTAACTTACAAGATTAAAATTAAATTTGCTTGACGATTCTGAACAAATGCGCTGTTTTATTTGAGGTAAGAATGGGTAAATTTTACTACTTTGACGTAAAAGTAAGCTTATTAGGTTTTCAGTTTCTTTGATAATTTATATTTTTGATACTGATTATGAGTAAATATCTGAAATAATTTTACAAAATCTTTAAACGTTTTCTTTGAGAGGTCTTACTTGCATAGCTATTGTAACTTAATGTGCCTTTTGAATAGTTTAAAATATTGAAGGTCCTTTAAGCCTTTGTTTAATTTTGGGACCAAGAAAAAGACTGATTACACTTTCAGGAAAACCATAAACCAAAGATATGCTTTTCTTTTATACTGTGCAAACAGTTTTAATGTTTTAATATTAAATACGTTCATTGGAAAATTCAATCTAGTTACTATTCATACTAACATTTTAGGGGAGAGTGTTTTAAAAATTAGGGTTTTGTGAGCATTGATTTTAGTTTTTGTTCCTTTTATGAAATAAGAACTTTAAAAACATGTATTCCTACTTGGCTTTTGGTGGTTCCATCAATAAATTGTTTAGAATATTGTTTTCTTTTCCCCCCCAAAAGGTATGCCATTTTGAAGACTGAGACCATGGAATTTTATCCTTGAGGATAAATCTTTGTGATAGTCTGTATTTTGTATAGCAAGTAAGTAAATGTTTTAACCCAACATACGCAGTCTAATAGCTACCAACATTTGAATAGGAAAATATCAGTAAAGGTCGTCAATGTGACATAAATTGTAGTTAATCTCGAAAAAGGGATGAGAAAAAGCCCATCAAATGCATTTCCTTATATCAAAGCAGTTTTGTGCTAATGTTAAAACAGTTGATACATGTAATTTAAATCAGCTGTGAGACATTCAGTACTTTTCAGTTAAATGGTGATTTAGATTTATGGTTAAATCAGAAGTTGAGTCGTCATCTTTACAATCTGGAAGGTACATTCTTCAGCCATTTTTTTGATAATACGGATTATGTTTTAGAAATGGCGTAGAATTTTTGTATCTGCAGATCTTACAATTCTTAAAAGAACTGTATTTCAAAAACTAAGTAGACCCTTTCATAGTCTAGTTATTATTTAGTGGATTTAAAACACTTGTTTTACCTATTTTTGTGAGTCTTTCTTCCCAAACAGGTACAAAAATAAGTTATTTTACAGGAAACTAAAATGATATGACTAAAGAGACTTGTTACCTGTAGCTTACTAAGTCTTTAGAGCTTGAAAGGAAGGAATAATTTCAACATGTATATGATATTTTGATATCCTAAAATTAGATACATGAATGAAAAAAATAATTTTCAGGAATAATTTCTCACTCCTTAACACTGAGTGTGGAAATTAATGTCAAGTGATATTAGCAAGGGATTTACCAGAGGAAATATGGAATATAATGAGATATCTTGGGAAATTTTAAGGATAGTCAACCAATTAATTCGTATAAGGGCAGGTTTGTATTTGTTCTTATAATTCTTGTGGATAATTTATCATTGGTGTTAGCTTATTCTGTTGATTCAAATCGATGATAAAGGTAATATTTTTATTTCTTTTGCTTTAGCTTAATTTTTGCTTTTGGTCCTTTTGCAGTTTGGTCAAATTTGTGGTTATTATAATGTACAGAAGAAACCAAATGTTAGACCTTTAACAGTAATGTTTTAAAGATGTCATATATGTAAAGTCAAGACATCTTTCATCCCAAGCATCCTTAATACAAATACCAAGGTTAGGGTTTCCTTCTTGTAAATGATAGGATGTTATTTTGGCATTCAGATGTGCTTGGACACTGATGTAAAAATTGAGACTTGAACTTCTTAAGACACAAATGTATGTGAAGTTTAGGGTAAGTTTAAGTAGAAATTGGCAGTGACTTATAATAGACTACCAAAGTTGTAATTTGAATCCATAAAATTAAAAAAAAAAAGACTTTAAAAAAGATTAAAATGCTAAATGGAGATTTTTATCTTTGTCCAGTATTAATCATTATAAAAATCGTTTTAAATGATATAGAAACTCCTAAATTAACATAATGGAGTTCAGTTTTCCTTTTTATCACCAACAAAATAAAAGATTTTAATAAGTCACATTTTAAAAAGATCTGCATGTCCTTTGACCTTCATAATAATACGGTCAGTGTTTTGAAATCTGCTGCTGAGCCAAGCTTGTAAAATTGGCAGTATTTCTGGTAGACAAAAATAATGGATACATGAGAGCAAATATAACCAAAGATACCATTATTTTAAGTTACTATATTTCATAAAAAACTATTTAGTTTATTAGTACTTTCTGTTTGAGTCAAAGTTACAAATACTTATATATTTGTTTTTATTTTAACATTTTGAATTCTTGAATCAAAATCACCTGATCAGGTTTGAGATTGGATTCCATTGTGTTTATCATTGTGACAACAACTGTTTAAAAAATTCCTGGAGTTCCACAGATGTGAAGGAAGCCATGCCCATAGTTAAAAAAAGGCTTTCATGAACTACTACATATATAATTAGAGGCTAGATTATATGAAACCGGTAATTTTGAATATGAATTTTCTTTCAAGCTTAGTTTACTATTGTTCACAGTTTCTTAATTATTTAAAATTTTGGACTGTGGACAACCAATTAATTTGCCTCTTTTACTCTGATTTTCTTTGTTGAGAGGGAAAAAAGATAACTTGGGGATATCTCCATCTTCTCCATTAATGAGAGATGTGTGAAAGAATGGAAAGAATAACTGATTCAGCAGAGAGGAGACCTAGCTTCTAATGTGAATTAGTTCTGTAATCTTGACATTTTATTCACTGTGGGCTTTAGTCTTCCTAATTTGTATAAAATATTTGGAGTTTCCCAGTCTCACACCAGTTTGCTCTTATATTGTGTGGTAAAAATAATAGTGTCTAATTCTCTTAAACTGGAGAGCAGTTTTTATAATTTTTGCATTGCAAATTGTAGATGTTATTTCTGTGTTGAAGTTATTTGACTAACTTGAGACCTGGGCCAGTAGTATACCTGACTTTCCTAATTTTGATGGTGGTCATCAAATTGTGTCTGACTCTTTGTGACCCAATGGACTATAGTCTGCTAGGCTCCTCTGTTCATGGGGCTTCCCAGGCAAGAGTTCTGGAGTGGGTTGCCATTTCCTTCTCTAGGGGATGGACTCAGGAACCTGTGTCTCCTGCATTGGCAAGAGGATTCTTGACCATTGAGCCACCAGAGAAGCTGTTCTCTAATTTTAGGCATTCTAAAATGTTAATAAATAGTATAAATGCAGACATATGGAGAAGTGTGTTTAAAAAATAGAGATTTAGAATGCTGCAATGAAAGCGTTTTGAATTTTTTTCCTAATAATTATTTCATTAAATAATTTAAAGATTAATGTATTCAATGTAACATTTGCAGCTGACCATCATGATTATAAAGCTTACATGCTTGACATAATCTATAAAATTTCTCTGAACACAACTGTATTTCAAAGATAAATATTCTTCTCTTACTCAGCTACCTTTCCCTTCCAGATTAAGTGGCTCAGTACACTTAATTTTCAAATTGATTGTTATTTCTGAATATAATTAACCTTTACAATTTAAATTCAAGAATATTCTGAACTTTACAAATAAAAACTGATTTGAATGTTTACATAACTTCAAGAAGCATGTTTACTACAACAATTTGATTTATACATAGTGTATGTAAAGCTAGATAATTCACTGTTTTGGCAAATAAGCCTTTGTTTTTTAAGTTTATTTGAAATTGAATATTTCCCAAAAAAGCAATTATATCCTTACTATATTTACAGAGTAGTCAAAATCACTTTAATTTAGGTTATCAAGCTAAATATTTTGCTTAACTTTAATGGTTTATGAGTTATGTTTTCTTACAACTTGATGACTTTACCACTAGTACCTTATTTTTGTGAAAAATTTCATATATTTCACAATGCTCTCAAGGTTTATTCTTAGTTAAGATGTTAGGTTGTTTTGAGGATCTCAAAAGATGACAATCAAATGTAAGAAAAGCACAGATGGCCTAGTGTTAATGTAAGACTACACTAAAGTCATCTTTGCCTTCTATTATAAAATGACCAGCAGTCATACCTTTAATTTCATACTAAATGAGAATCCTTGTTACTGTAAAATAGTAAAGATAGGAATATGAGCAAAATTACCAACTTTTGTAGCCTTCTGAAGGTGAACTTAGCTTGTGTTGGTGGCTCAGTTGTGTCTGACTCTGCAGCCCCCTGGACTGTAGCCTGCCAGGCTACCCTGTCTGGGATTCTCCAGGCAAGAATACTGATGTGGATTGCCATTCTGTTCTCCAGGGGATCTTCCCAACTCAGGGATCAAACTCAGGTCTCTGCATGAAGGAAGGATTTGTCAGGTTTTGGAAAGGAGATAGAGTGGTAGATTACATTAGTGTCAGTAATTTTTGTGGTGGTGCAAAGTGTGATCCAACTTCTCATCTGGTTTTCATGGAGTGAGCACCCTGAACCACATACTTGTACTGATAGAGAGCTTTTTTTAATAAGCTGATGAGTTTTCCTCAGACATTTCTTTCATGGATAGTCCCTTAAGTCATTCCTGCCCTACTCTCAGGGACTAAATCAATTTATTTTACTTGATTGATTTAGGGTTTATCTTTGTTAAGTAACTGTCTTTATATAAGCTCAGGTTTAATTTGGAAGCTTAAAAATGAGTAATGCTGTGTTTCTTGTTAATTGCTTCATTTTATTAATTTGTTGGGAGGAAATTTTAGCATCTTGATCTTAGAAGAAATTTTGAAGCCGATCTTTGCAGTATTTCTTGGATATGAATAGTCAAAAAATGATGAATGGGTTTTAGATTTGGTAAAGTCATCAGGAACTTGCTTTATAATTTGAAAACTGGAAACCTTGGTCTTGGAAAACATTTAGGTAGCTTAGTTGTTGCTTAAATCCTAAACTTTATTTTACTGTCTAAAAATTCTTAAATAGGTACATTTTCATATTGAACTTTTAAACAAAGCATTTTGGATAATTCTTGCCGATATTTTGATTATTATAATCATACTTCGGCACAGCAGTGACGGGAAAAAGTATATACCTGTAGTCTCAAAAATTTACTCAAGATAGAGAAACATTGTCTTCCATGTTGGTGAAGTATTTCAGTCTAATCAGTGAAAAGTATGGGTATGGTATTTTTATCAAGCACATACTTTAGAGAGGGTTAGTGTTGATGCTGGGAAAAATTGAGGGCAAGAAGAGAAGGGGATGACTGGATGAGATAGTTGGATGGTATCATCGACTCAGTGGACATGAGTTTGAGCAAACTCAGGATGATAGTGATGGACAGAGAAGCCTGGCATGCTGCAGTTCATGGGGTCACAGAGTCCAGCAAGACTTAGTGTTTGAACAAGTGTTGAGTAGGTCCATTTAATTAGTAGTAAAGAAAAGTTGGAAATTATGCTTAAGGTTTCTATCCTAGAATAGTGTTGACTAAGGTTCATGATAATGCAGTGATACTGAAGAGTGAGAAACACGGCCTTGCCAGGTTGGAAATGGAAGCTTTCCTTTAGAAGTGTTGACAGCAGGTTAGATGAAGGGCCAGAAAATAAAACACTTCTGTTCTGTTGAGGAGTGAGGTGGGCTCTGTTAAACAGTTATTTTAACAACCATGACTGCCTGTTAGGGAGCCCAGATTTTTACCTAGGAAGTTCTTGGGGACTGAGACTTAACGTGTGTTTTTATAGTAACATTTTACTGGTGAGGCTCTGAGCATTCAGATTTAAGATTCTCTGGATTAGAACTTTTGATCTTTTGGAACTTTTATAAATACATGTCTGGTGATTGATTCTGATAAGATGTTGAAATTTCCACATAAATCTATTTTTGTCTTTCTGTACATAAAATTATGTTCTTTTGCTTTCTGTAGGAATATGAATCCTGAAGCTGAATCACCTAAGGGGCCTTTACAGCGAAGCGAATAGATGTTGGTGAAAGCGTTAGTAAGTTTTCACTCAATTTACATGTTTTATCTGTTTTTTAAGTTTAAATATGACTTTGGAAATTTTAAGTAAATGAGTCTATAAAAACAGGGATTTAGTGAGGTTCAAAACAGTACAAAAATAAACCCATATGGTTAGATGTGTACCAAGTTTATTAAAATCTTATTAATTTACTCCAACTTTTTATTATTTTCTGCTTTTTAAACTTAGGTTCAGGCAAAGTTTAAATGGCAAGAAATCATATTTGAATATGCTTTTAATACTATACCTAGGACTTCTCTGATGGTCCAGTGGTTAAGACTGGGCTTCCACTGCAGGGCGCAAGGGTTCCATGCCTGGTCAAGGAAATAAGAGGCCACATGCTCAGCGCAGCCGAAATAAACAACCTGCACCGTAGATCTAGGTGTTTGTAAATGGCCCTCTGTTTTTATAAATAGAATTTTATTAGATCACAGCTATGCTGTTTCATTTACACATTTTCTGTGTCTACTTTATTTAGAGCTAAGGAGTAGAGAATAGTTGCAGCTAATGGCCACAAACCGCTGAATACTTGGTATCATGTCCTGTAAGGAAACCTAGCTTACTCTGGATCCTTCTTTTTTGTCAGCTTTTCATATGTAGAATTCCGAAGCCCTTGAATTCTCTTGGTAATAGAGCATACTTTTCTGGATTTCATTGTTACTAATTCAAATAAATGAAGTAATCATGAGCTTTCCTTAAACTTGAAAGCCCAACAAAAAGTCCTTTTTACACTAGGGTTTTGCCTTGATAGTGTAGAAAGTGTGGTTACTACTGGGGAATTTCTAACTCACCATCTGAGAAATAGTGGGAAAAGAGTGGTTAGACTGTATAAATGAATTTGGATGAATTCTCAGATGGATTTATTTTTGACAAAGCTTTTTAGTATGATAATTATTTAGTAGTTGTTTTATAAAAGAAAGTTTTGAATCACATTTGCGTATCTAGATTCTGTATGATAATCTTTGTTTCTCATTATTGTTTGAACCTCTATTATATAAATGGGACTAGGACCTGTAAAATAGTGAATTTTTTTTTTTTTAATGGGGAGTGGTGAGGATAAAAATGAAAAGTTTCCTAATGTAGTATAATTTATTGACTTCATGCCTTCTATTTTAAAATGATCAATTGCCTGGCACATAGTAGATGCTCAGTAAATACTTGTTGATTTAATGTATATAGTTGCTGTTAAACATTTGTCAACTAGTGTTTTGGGTCTAAACTAAAAATGAAGATTCATTATTAAGTTTATAATGCTTCAAATACTAACTTTTAGATATGCTTTGAATACTAAACTCTGACTCAGTAAAAGCTTAAAAGTTTCAAGAAACCACAGCTTTCAATCTTTCATGAACATGTAGTCAAGTTTTAAACTAATAGAGATAATGGGGAAGATTTGATAATAAAACTTTTAAGTAAGATGACTTTCTTAGCCCCCACAGTTGAACAGCATAGTTTAACAGTGTGAACAACAGCTGGCTGCTTTTGTTTCTTGCATGCCCACCTTATTTAGGACCCAGACTTGTTAATATATTTCAATCCTATTGAGGAGTCAAGCTGTTTTTGGTAATAAGACAGAATATGTGAATTCACTATTAAATATTTTCAAATTTAAAGGCTGTGCAGAGAAGATTGAAATTATGACATAAGTACCAAGATGATTAATTACGTGATGATAATGATCAATTTCTCCTTCTTACTGTAATTTTGAACCCGTTTGTCCCACTGGTTTTGCATTAAGTCTTTGAATTTTGACAAATGGTAGCATTTATTGGAACCATTTGTTTAAAAATTTGACTCATTCATCTACTTCCTTGTGCTCTTCCCCGTCCCCCACATATTTTGTTGCTTTTAAAATAGGGGTTTGCTAAGAAGTAGGGGTAGGGAAATGGCTTATTTTAGGGGAACCTCTCTTAAAACACATCCAGTAATGATTCACTTGCTTGCATTTCAACTAACAACTCACTTTACAGTATCCCAGTGTTTTTTAAACAAATTTACTGAATTAGAATTTAAAACTTTCTTGTTTAATATTATGTTTTTAATTTTTGGCTGTACAGTATTTGGGGATTTTAAGAGATAGTAGGTACTTACTACTTTCTTACCATAGATTCTAGAACTGACTTAAAACAAGCAATTAAAATAAATTAAAAAAAGATATAAGTGACCATTATAGTGGGAAAATTCTCTTAACTTTTCATAGTATACCTTGAAGCTTGTATGTGCGATGATGGAGTTCTGGATCAAACCATCATCTCTTCAGTATGTTTGCAGTAATCCACAAATTACTGAAAAGGTATGGAGTAGTAGGACTTTGATACTAAACCCTATTCAGTTTTCTGTACTGATCTTATTTTAATACAACATTAGTGTTGTGTTACTCAGTCATGTTGGACTCTTTGTGATCCCATGGATTGTAGCCCACCAGGCTCCTCTGTCTGTGAAATTCTCCAAACAAGAATACTGGAGTGGGTTGCCATTTCCTTCTCCAAATGTGACATTAAATACTCTTTAAAGCAGAAATTGTTTTTGTCTTTTAAATAGTTGACCCCATGACCCTATAGATTTTTCAGAGATACCATGACCATTGGAATATAAATTGTTTGCTTCATTAAGGTTAGTCTGTAGGTCCTCAGGTACTTTGGTTACTCTGGTATATTGGAGTAATAACTAATATTTATTGAGGTCGTTCTATATGCCAGGTAATGTAAAAGCTATAAATGTTAATCTTCACCACTACTGCTACATAAGGTAGGTACTACTGTTCTGTTTTACAGATGAAGAACTGGATTTAGTTGCCAATGAAATTTCCAGGCTCAACTCATGCATACCTTTGCACTTTTTTAACTTTGCTTATTTGCAAATTTAATTTTTGTAAGAAATTGAAATTCCATGAAATTGAATGGCTCATTTTGAAATCCTTTACTATTCTTTTAAGTGCTTTGAATGCTTGACTTAGCTCTTTTGCTTATTAACACAATGCTAACTTTCTGGGTTTTGATTGGCTTCATAGGAATGCAGATTGATCATGGCTTTTCTAGTACCAATCTTTTTCTTCATCCCACTCAACTCCCCCCCCCCCCTTTTTTTTACCATCTTAAATATGATGACAGTATATATGATAGCACAACCAATATGCTGGGTTTTTTTAATATCTATTTTTGTCACACAAGATGATGTATTCTGTTAATTTTGATACAATTTTAATATCATTAGGCTTCCTTGTGGATCTTTAAAAATATGGTTTTAATTTTTCTAAATAAGGTTTTAATATTTTACATAGTGTCAAGAATGGATTTTACCTCTTGTCTTGTGGCAGGAGAATATGAAGCACTGAGTTTATCATTTAGTGTACTAGATTGAGTAAATTGCACCTATTGCTATTGTAATGATTATAACTTGATATCAATGCATTAATGTCATTGTTCATCATAATAGTGTTTACATTCCAAACTTCATTTAGAGCTTGTCCCTTCATTGTAACAGAGTTTGAGAAATTGGTTTATAATTAACTAATAAAGAGGAATGAAGGTTTTTATCTTTTTAATATGGAGATATATGTCCCTTAAGTTTAAGACATGAACAAGTCAAGGGGAAGCTATTTTACTGATATGGGAAATAAATGAGTTATTTTTAGTTCTCCTTTTAGGCTGGAGAGATATCGGCAAAAAATGTTTGGGAGAAATATCTTTTATTTGATGTTTATTGATGTTGTGACACTCATTTTCAGTATCTGTTTAATGAGTGGTGATATCTCGGTTAATCATGTGATTTATTCAGTAGATTTTTGTACTGTATATAGTAGACAACAACAACAATGAATCCTTATAGTTTTGGAATGAATGTATTAACTACCTAATGAGCAAAAAATGCCCTTGTATTTAATAACTTCCAAGTCAGTCATCCAGACTTCATTGCTATAAATTTAGTTTGAGAGCTGCAAAATTTATAGAGAAGATCAGAATTAAAGCTTATTTTTCTAATTATGTTTGATCATGATGAATCAGGGCCATTTATTTAATGGTAAAATCTCCTGACTTCCCTTAATTCCTTTAGTTCAAATTATTTAAGTAGTTTTTTTAAAAAAATGAGGAATATTTGATGTTTTTGAAATGAGAATTTTATTTGTATTGAATTTGAAATCTGATACATCAAATAAGACAGGCAAATACTTTGCATGTTTGATCATTTTGTTTTCTAGTGGCTATGTTTCCTGCATTCTCATGTATGTAGCTCAAGATTATCTGTATCGGCCATTTGTGTTTTCTATGCAAAATTAAGATCTGTTGCACCAGAAAACTGCTATGATCCACTCCTTTGGTTTTTTTTTTTTTTTTAATTCTTTTAAGATTCTTTTCCATATTTAGTTTTATTTGAAGAAGCTTGGAAAGTTTTCTGCATTGAGATTTAGAATCCATAGTGTTGCTGTACTTTAGCTTTCCAGAATTGTTGGATTTGAATTTTTGTTTCCATTTCTCATGTAGATAGTATAACAACATTTAACTATTAAAAGTGTGACTCTTCACTGCCACATTTTTATGGTTACTCTGTATCTGTGACAGTAAAAGAATTTTGTTACTGGTGTGCTGTTTTTGCCATGCTTCTCAATGAGAAGTTGTCTGCAGCACATGCAACTTAATATACAATTTTAGAGTTTAAAGTTGTTACAAAATTATTAAAGCATTATGTATGGTACCCTTATCTTCAAGGTGGGTAGATGTTGTCTGTTTGAAGGAATATGATTGTTGATATTCCAACAGCATTTTTTTTTCTTTTAATGTTTTCATCAAGCACCAGTCAGCTTGAAGAGTCTCAAATGGACCCTACCACTGAGAAATCAAGATGGCAGTCCACTATGGGGAATTGAGAAAAATGGATTAATACAAGAGTGCTGTGATAATATGCAACCAAGACAGGGTTCTTTTAACATGGATTTCATGAAATGAATGAAGATATAGGTTTCTTAACAGCACAAATGGACAGTGAATTTGACTTTCTAGAGACTTTTTGTATCATTAAGAATATTTTTGACATTTGTAGAAAAAGATGGCACATTAACAGATGATAGTTTGTATGCCTGGAATTTTTTGCAGTTTGATTTGTATGAGTATGACCTTGTGGAATGTTAACTTTAATAAAATTTCTAACACTTTAAAATTTCTCAGTTTGGGTTTTTTTTTTTTTTTTAAGCTCATGTTTCATTAAATATTCAGTGTCGCCTTAAATAACATTTGACCTTTACAGTTGCCCAGCAGTCAAGTGTACTGAATAAAGCTGGTAAAATGGAAATGGTGTGCTGGAAAATATTTTACTTGATTGGTTAAGATTTGTCTTTTTAAAAAGTTGTAGAAATTTATTTGTGCCTTAAAAAATGGTTATTCAGTTAAAATACTATTTTATACTTTCTGAAAGCATCTTGCTTAACCAGTGGGTTAAGGATATTTGATTTTCTGTGAGACTTTAATGAACTTTTTAAAAAAATGCCTTTTGCTTCAAAATTCAGCATGAATGATGAGTATTTTTCTGAATTAGTATGTTTTGATGGAAACGGTCCCTTTCACCTATGCTTATTAAATATTATAAATAAAACATCTTGTAGAATATCTGAACATTTAAACTCAATCCTTCTTTTATCTTAATGGTTAATATTAGGTAAAGGGGTTTTGGATTATAGGAAGGTCCTTAGGGTGTTTGCAGAAGAACTTAACATTTTGGTGTCAATGTCTACAGTAGATTTTATAAGATAAGATCGCTTATTGTATTTTTCTGCTATACATTTAGAAATTTAGAGTAAGTGAACCACACTATGTCATTGATAACTTTTGTTTGAATTCTGGGTGAATGCTGCAGTTTCATTGATAATCAGTTAAAATTGTTTTCAGTTACTATTATGGGGTGTGGCAGACTTTGATAAACCAAATGAGTTGTTGATTATATTTTCCCATTATATGGAGAACAAATGATAGTTCAGCTTTTGTGTTTTGTTTTGGTGAGAAAATGTTAATCACACCATGTTTGTAATGTCAAGTACCAGGATACACAAGTCAGTGATCAATAGAGATGTTGTATTCATTCTCATTGGCTGATTTGAGTTGGTTGGTTTATATAGATCAAAAGTGGGATCTTGATTTTGGTACAAAATTATCTTTTGTAGAAAGTATGGAATTGAGACTGGGTTTTGGTTATGGATTTTACATTTACCTGGGTGCAAATTATTGCTTTTGTTAAGTCTCAAGTTGACTTTTCAGTGAGGGAAGGGTGGTGGTCTGGCTGATAACGTTGAGTAAGGAGAGTTGATTGTTTTTGGTTGTGTGAATGTTTTCTTGGGGTGCTTGTTGAGAAAGTTGAGTGATTTGGTTTTGGCATAGTGATTTTGTTTACGTGAATGTCATGGTTTTGATATGTAGGAGAGTTTGCCCTGTGACATTACTTTGGTAACTTTTCCATCAGATATGACAGGTTGTTACTAGTTTACCATTGTTGAAATGGGTGTATACTTTGAATTTGATTCGGAATACAAGGGGATGGTTGAAATACATGTGTTGGTTTTGGAGGTGGAGTTCCTTGGGTTTGTTTTTTCATTGGTAGTTCCATGCTCTTGAATTCAGTAACATTGTTTTGCCTGAATCAGTATGGTATGAGAATTTTGGGGGTATGGTTTTGGCAAGGTTGTATAATGGGTTAAAGAATTTTGTGAAAATACAAAGAAAAGTTGAGATTTTTGAATAAAAAACTAGTTGCATTAATTTTTGCCCTAATGCAACTGAACACTAGGGAGGCGCTCTTGTGCCCCTTCCTTCCAGTTGGGATGGAAAATTCCCCCTTAAACTTAATCTTTAGATAATTTTTAGGCTTCATAAGGGAGGCAAAAGTTGAATTTTAATTTATGAAATTGAGGTTTTGCTTTTATTTAGAAACCATTTTACCATGGTGGGGGGTAGTTTTAAAAAAGATTAGTACTTAAGCTGAGCTTTATATTCTCCTAAGAATTATCCCTTTTTCAAAATGGCTTGATAAAACACCACTTCCTGTCCAGAGAGGAAGTTATTTTAGCTCAAGGACTGAAATATTTAGCAGATCTTTAGACAAAAGGAACAAATTACATTTCTCTCTGGCTTAAAAAGGGTGTTTGAGCCAGAGGGGGTTAAGAAACCCTCCCCCCTCCGCCTGATGGGGTGGTCTGGAGGGGCAGGGAGGGGTGGGGGTAGGGGTCCTTAGGCTCCCTGGGATGGAGGATCTTTTTTTTTTTTTTTTGGTGGAGATGAAGGGGTGGGTCTATGGTACATCACCTGAGTTGTGGGGTAAATGTAGAGAGTGTCAATCAAAGGCAGAGCTCAGAGCTGGGAAGGAGGCTCTAGATGGCGGCTGTGCCTTAGAGAGAGCGCGCTCAGCTCCCAGCCTTCGCCTCACTTTACGCAACTTTCCCTAACTTTCGGGCAGCCTCAGGGGGCCCCCGCAGCCCCCTGCCTCTCCTAGTGGCTTACTGGGGTCGATTCGAGCCTTTTTTAGGGGGAAAAGCCGCTCTTGGGAGCTTTCTTTTCGTGCCTTGCTGGAAAGAAGCAGCCGTACTGCGAGCCCAGGTCGTTGTTTTTCCAGCTTAGAAGCCATGGCGCACCTCCATTTTTGTGCGCTCTCCTAATGAGGTTTTTTTTCTTCCGGACCCGTTTCAGGATTATTTGTTGCTTTATTTTTTTGAACAGTTAACATATTTGAGGATTATATTATTTATTTTTTGCTTTTTAACGGAGAATTTTGTTTTTATTTTTAATTATTTGGGATCTGATATTTTTCTACTACTAGATAGGACTCTTGCTTTGGACCTACTACATGGATCAGGTAAGTTCACGATCATTAGTGGTAATTTAAAAGATTTACATGTTTAAGTTTGCTCTATTTTCTGTAAATATGTGAAATTCCTGGATGACGCAATAAGATACAGAGATTGTTATTTGTATCCAGTGTGTTACTTTGAGAAACTTTCCTTATTGATAGTGATGATGATTCCCTCTGTTCGGTTTATCTTTTTTTTTTTAAAGGAAAAAATAGAAATATTTTGTTTTTTGGTGCTTACCGCCGTTGTGTTATAACAATATCGTTACATAGTCAGGACTTTGTTCCTGATAATAAAAGCCATCGATAGAAGCTGGGACCTTACCTTTCTTTCAACTTTTGACAGTAAATACCTGGGCACAGGACTTCAAAGCAAACACAGATTCCCCCTCCCCCTTAATATTTAAGAATTAAAAGATGATGAGAAATAAGGACAAAAGCCAAGAGGAGGACAGTTCGCTACACAGCAATGCATCGAGGTATGAGCTATCAACTTTCTTCCTTTTTTCTTTTTTTTTGGGGAAACCTCAGCTTACATTGTTTACCTTGACAGACAAGGATAGCTGTCTGTTTTATTTTAAATATTTTACTAATTTGAGTTCGTTTTTTAAAGCGTGACCTTGAGATTGCTAATATGCCACACCCTAATTTTTTGGTAGCAATTTATGAAAGTTAAGTTGTGACTTAAGGCCTCTTACAGCAGTCAAAAGGTAAGGTACCTTTATTCAAGGGGGCCTTTCCTGCAAACCACAGGTTTTTTGACAGTAAATTTCAGTTTTTAGGTTTTCATGCTGTGGGAAAATGACCTTGTCGGTTTAGCCATTGCTGCATTGCACCATTTTACATACAAGGCAAATTTTTTCTTTGAAGAATCTAGGATACCCAAACTAGTAACTGAAGGCCATAGAGGAGCCTTGTGGTAGTAAATTATAGTAAATAGACATTTGAGAAAGTTACATGAATGAAAAAATGTACATTTTAAAATGAAATTGCAAAAAGGACCCTTTGACTGATGCCTCTCAGTTTATATTTTTATTTGACTCTATGTTTCTTTTGATACTGTTGACATTTTAGGAAATTTTGATAAGATTTAATCAAAACCTTTACACTCGATGGTTACAGTTCCTGCATTTATGAAATCAAACCTGTGATCACAGAAATCTTGGAATACGATTAATATGCTTCTGTTTTGTGTGTGTTACTGTGATTCTAATTGTTTATTTTATACTTAAAATACTTTAAGGCTTGCATTTGTATGCTTATATTAAGACAATTTTCTCTGGTTGGTAGATGTAGTGTTTTAACCTCACATTTTAGTTGTAGCTGCTTTAAATTTATTGATTTATTTCGACAGAGTCGTCTGGAATGCTTTATCTTCTGAAGCTTACAAATGTTACTGTTTGTTCAAATCATGATTTGTTTCACATTTGTTGGAGTTCACCGTATTAGTGACTAAGTAATAAAGCCTCTAAGATATTTTGTTGTATGAAAAGCCTCTGAGATGTTTTGTTGTATGATCTGTATATTAATTTTACAAAGTATGTATGAATATATTTCTTGATGTGTGTTCTATGAGCTGTCACATTACAAATTTTAAATTAATGCATTTAACAAGAATTTGATTGGTTTATATGAATTTTTTCCCTCCCCAGTTTGCTTTTACTTTTATAATTTTTTATAAACAATATGTATTACTAGGTTAGTGATTTGAAAGTTTTGGACATGGTTTATTTCTAATGTTGAATTCTTATTTGTTTTATAAGACTTAAAATATTTTCACCCTTGCTTTGAAAAATACCTTTCCAAATTCGTTTGCAAATTGAGTTGTCACATAGTTTGGATTGCTGTCTTTGAAACTGAATTACCCGTGTAATTATCTAGGCTAGATTTAGGACAGAAAACTACTGATTCTAAACTGATTTTTCTGAAAAGTGATGACTTGAAGAAATAGGAATCCCCAGGAATCTTTGACAAATTATTAAAGATTCAATACCTAAAATTGGTACTCCCTTGAGTGTATGATTTGCATATCTCACATGGGTTTTGGCTTTCTCATGCAAGGTTTGTGGTTAACGTCATTGATCAGACTCTGCTTTCTAATTTAAAAAAATTAAGTGGTTTTGTTATTCTTTCTTTTAATGATTGACTCTGACCTGGAAAACATGCAAGTTGCTATGCATTTGTCTTCTGGTTATGGGGTTGCAGCTTAACTAGAAGCATGCACTATACTTTTGAATGTGTTGTCAAGTGTATTTTGATTCATACACCTGATGAGTGTGAAATAGTTCAGACACTGAAAAGAAGATGGAGTTTTAAATTACTGTTCCCCC